CTCTCTCTCTCTCTCTCTCTTTCTCTCTCTCTTCTTTGTTCCCTTTTCTTTCTTTTTTTTAATGAGAATTCTGCTCGACTTTGCGACAGACGTTTCAGTCTAGAGAAGTTAAATAATGAAGCACACTTGGATACTTCTTTCAAGCAGTGGGAATTAAAACGCAAAGCGAAAGCCGAGCAACTTGCTCAACAAAACAAAGCTCTGAAGGAAAGCCCACACCTAAATATTTGACTAGAACTGCAATGAGTCAAAATTACGAAGTAACTTTAAAGCAAAGGTGACGAAGTGGAAATATAACCTCAGTCACAAGCTCTAAATCCTAAATCCCTGAATGAGACTGTTGTTTTTTTGTTCTGTAGAATTGAAGTGGATCCCCAATCCCCACCCTTTCCTCCTTAAATATTACTCTAGCACACCAACCAGACTCCATAAATCAAAGGTCGCATTTTGAACAGACTTGGAAGAAATTCTTAGATAGAAAGACTCTATACCAACATTCAGATCAGGTGTACAGAACATGCATGTTAATTGTACGCCACATTCTAATTACCCTTCAAGCACCAGCTCGGTCCCATCCACAGAAATTCATAGTTTAATTAAAAGTGTTCTCTAGCAGTTCCCCACGGTGCAAAGTTAGAGCTTGATTGACGAGATGAACGCTCAACTACGTCACATTCGTGTTTGCTACCGAGAGGTCGTTTACTGGGTGGTACAGCCTAATGATTCGAAAGGAAAAGTACGCTATCGGTGCTTTAAGGTCATATGCTTTTTATATGCAGTGAACATTTCCAGAACTTGCACTGCTTTTAGTCATGCACAAGCAGTGCAAATCACAAATTCTTCCGATTAATCTTAGTTGAATGAATGGGAAAATTTGTCTTACAAGTGGTGTTTTTGTTTTAATGGGAAAATGTGTCTTACAAGTGGTGTTTTTGTTTTTGTTTAATAGTGACAAATTGTTAAAGAATCACCAACATCACACCGCACACCAGTCGCCTGCCCAAGGATCACTCTCAAATCTCACTCCCAGTGCACATGGCAGCTGATGTGTTCTTTGCTAAAGAAAAGACTTCGAGATGAAACTTTCAAACTCCTGTAAACAAACTGTACGCAGAGACCGGTATAATGCCCAAGAAAGACAAACGTTGAAGTGTGTCACACTATCAGTAACAATATTATATTCTCAAGGACCATTCTCAAAAAGCAGTGCACAAGAAAATTGGTGTGCTATGCCAGGAAAATGAATCTGTGAGATAAAAGTTTCTATTTCCTTCAAGAAATTTATTCAAGGAATCCCGCAAAAGATCCCAAACAGGTAACTTTTGCTTCACCATAATACGGAAGAAGGACTCTCAACACTCTGTTTACAAAACAATTGACATGCTGTGCTTGATCCCCTTCAAGAAAACTCTTCAAGGAATCACCTAAAACTCCCCAAATATGGCGTGTTCTGTGCTGAGTACAAAAGACTGTGGTAGGAAAGTTTCAATCTTCTTCAAGAAAACTCTCCAGGAAACCCCCAAACTCCCCCAAAAGGAGGCTATTTAATTGTGTCATCATAATAAGTTACTGAAGGACAACTCTTAATTCCCAGTGCAAAAAACAACTGGCGTGTTCTGTGCTGATAAAAAAGACAGTGATATGAAAGTTTCAATCTCCTTCAGGAAAATTCTTCAAGGAAAAATTCTTAGCAAACAGCCCTAAAAAGGTGACGATGGTGTCATCCATCATTCTCTACTCCCTCTGAACAAGACAACTGGCATGTTCTATAAGAGGATAAAGACAGTGAGATGAAAGATCCAAAGATCCAATCTTCCTTCTAGCAAATGTGCTCAGAGACCAGCGCCGCATTACTAGCAACAATATAATATTCTCAAGGACAATTCTCAGCACCCAGTGCACAAGAGATTCAATGTGCTGTGTTGACGTATTCTATAATAGGATAAACTTTACAGTGAGATGAAAGTTCCAAATCTTCCTTCAAGCAATAAATGTACTCATGGATCATCATGACAATGCCACAATAAAGGCAACCAGTGTCACAGCAATAATAACAATAACAGCAACCAGTACAGGAGAACAGAGACCACGTGACACGGAAACAGACCACGTGACACGGAAACAGTAATGTCTGCTGGGAAGTTCCGCACCTCTCTAGTGGCTATTCCTGAGGATACGCCCGTGGCCTTCGAGGCCCCAGGGGTCAAAGGGTCAAAGGGCGTCAAGCTAAGCCCAAGGATCAGTTCTATACCTAAACTGCCGCCCATCAACAACAACAACAACGGCCCTGGACATTTGATCCAGTGGTTCCTATCGCCTGTACAGGAGGACGACCTTAAAATGGAACCCTGCAGTGTACTGATCTTCTTTTTCACTATGATTTTTTTTTTTTTAATTTATTTTTTGGGGGGGATGGATTTTTTAAAAAAATTTTCTTTGGGGGGGA